AGCAGTAAGTACCTGAACACCTCACGGTACGCATCTAAGCAGTAGGTACCTGAACACCTCATGGTACACATCTACTGGCTTTAGAAGCAGTAAGTACCTGAACACCTCATGGTACATATCTACTGGCTTTAGAAGCAGTATGTACCTGAACACCTCATGGTATGCACCGCAGCAGTAATTACCAGAACACCTCATGGTATAGATCTACTAGTAATTCATCGGACCACCTTGCGGTGTGTCAATTGGTCTTGAAGGCGGTAGATAGTACTCACCAGACCATCTTATGGTGTACTTCTACCGGCCTTAGAGAGTATTTACAGGACTACCGGTGATGTCTGCGGACTCACCGCCTACGCTGGTCAACTGTGGGCCGGAGTCATCTGATGCTGTTTTTGTTGAGAAATGGAATTACCAGCTAAGCTTATACCATTCGTATAGGGAAAACTTAACTTAGAAAGACAGCTCATCGCCTGCACAGCCGCCCCTGCAGACGAGGTCTTGAGAAGCTGTCGAAGTCATTCCTCAACAGGCTGAAATGAGTTATAATTTGTAAACAATAAATTACCCCTATGGGGTGTTATGTCAGCATATTTCATTCACTGATGGCTGACAAACTTACTTGTGTGGACTCAAAAGTCCGCACCTAACTGCCGACTATAGGTTGATTACAAACTCCTTGCGACTCAAGAACTGCGCAGTCCCCCGTACTACAAGAAATTCGTAACCTACCTTGCTCTTGTAACGTGAGCTATGGTGTTCTTCACACCTTCGACAGGTATCGGTGACTTGATAGAAGCTGAAGTGTCCTTGGATGTCCACGTCTTCCATAGTCTAGGAATACGCACACTGGTACACTATGTTCCACAAGATTTGTCTTTATTGTTCACAATCTTATCACTAAAGAAGCTGATCACACTTCTCTGTAAGTGTTTATTGTGTTTTGTGAGACACTTTGTTCACACTAATGCACAGCGTCAGTGTCACTCTCAGTAGAGTCAAAAGTAATCTGAAGACGCCACAATGCTCCACGCCGTCACTGCCCCCAGCACAAAGGAAAAGCTGACCTAGTACTTTTGCTTCCTTGCCACTTCCCCGATGAAGCAAAGCAGAATGTTTAAATCTTGTGTCTTAAGCATAGACAACAATGTCCACTATCTTTACTATGGTAATAAAGTAGGAGCAGGATTTTCCTTAATTGTCCTGCTAAGGTAAGAGATGTACTGTCTCTTATTAAAATACACTCTGCAACACTGGACTGCAAGGAGCGGCGGTCGCTTGACCACAGGCCGTATACTGGTACTGCATCTGGGATCAATTACTCGCTGTAGCAGTAAACAAGATATTTGCCCCTTCTGAGAGGGCTGGGCCCCTCAGGGCTGAAAGGGGCTGAAGGGGGCTGATGGGGGCTGATACCCCCCTCCTGGAGAAAATTTCTCCACAGTTTTAGTGGGACATTACATGAAGAAAAGGTTGGAGTGTTACACTGACCTGGGCTAGGACCATAGTGTGACACTTAAGCAAGTATGGAGTGGAACACTGAGATATGCTACAGGACCGTAGTGGAACACTGAGAAGAAAAGGGTGTCGTGTGACACTGAAGATGGTCAGGTTGTAGTGTTCATTGAATAGTATCATGTGACTGGCCTCGAGAAAGACGCTGTGGGTGATAGTGTGCGATGCAGAGACAAGGGTGTCAAGAGTGACAGTAGAGATATTGTGTATGACACAGAGAAAAGGGTGTCGTGTGACACGGAGAGTAGGAGTGTCGTGTGACACAGAAAAGGGTGTCTAGTGGACACGGTTGAGCAGGAGCGTCATTACACGGAAGAAAGGGTGTCAAGTGACACAGTTGAGAGGGAGCGTCACAACACACCACGGATGAGTGTCGTGAGAGACACTGGAGCGTCATAAGGAGTTGATTGTAATTTATTACTGTAAATGTTACGTATAATTTATTATTTTAGCATAGATATATATATATAGTGACACAGGAGTGTCAAGGAAGTTGTACCCTGTGTAGGGTTACGAATTATTTATTATTTTAGTAAAATGCTAATTATAATTTATTATTGTAACATGTATATATATTTTAAATACCTCTAGACCAAAGATTGATTTTTATATTATATTAAAGATTAATTGATTTTAATGTTGTATTTATGTATCCCGAACTCTTTATTAAAAAATGAGTAAACTTACCATCTTAAAAATCACTTTTTTTGTAATAATTAGATATACATGTGACTTTTATATTTACATGTACCAAGTGTTTATCTGGAGTTTATCTGGAGAGAGTTCCGGGGGTCAACGCCCCCGCGGCCCGGTCTGTGACCAGGCCTCCTTAGGTCAGTGTCCCAGGATGCGACCCACACCAGTCGACTAACACCCAGGTACCCATTTTACTGATGGGGAACATAGACAACAGGTGAAAGAAACACGTCCAATGTTTCTACTCTGGCTGGGAATCGAACCCAGGCCCTCACCGTGTGTAGCGAGAGCGTTAACCACCAGGCCACCAGATAAACCTTGGTGCATCCACCCTTTCCCAGTAGAACCATGTTAACCCTCCTTACACTCTTAACCTCTTGAGGGTCCAGACCCTAAATCTGAAGTGTCCACAGGGTCCAAAAATTTAAAAAAAAAAAATTTTTTTTTCTTATGAAATGGTAGAGAATCTTTTTCTGAAGATAATAAAACAAAAAGTACAAAATTTGACGAAATTATACCTTCATGAATTTTGCTGTGTCAGTAATGTTTAAGCATCAGTGATTTTGCCCAATTTGACTCCTATTTTAGGTCAATTACATTGTTCCAGTTGACCAAATTCTTAGCTATTTCGCTAGTATGCCTTCTATTTTATCAAATGAGCACAAGAAACTGCCCAGTCAACTATTTCAACTACCCAATAAGGTGATCATAAATTGGTAATTTGGCCAGTTTCACACAAATTTCAAAATATTGTATTTTCAAAATAGGGTTCAGAATAAACAATGCAGGCATTCCTGGCACTAAAATAACATTTCTTCTGTTCATTAGTTATGTTTCCAGGCTTAACATGTGAATTCCATTTTGATTTTTTTTTATTCACAAAAGGAGCTTTTAGTCAAAAAAATAGAAGATTTACTGTTATGCAATATTGCAATAATTGTATGAAGAATATCAATGCATTCATGAACGCACATTAGACCCACCGGTTGACGTGTATTGGACATGAGATGTGATTTGTTTGCTCTTAAACATCAGCAAAAAATTGAACAATTCCACTACTTTGAGCTCAATTTCATGATAATTTTTGTTCCAAAACCCAATCAGAATCATCTCTATTTCTGTAATATGTCTTCCATTCTATCAAGTGAGACTAAGAAACTGCAAATACAACCATAAAAACCACACAAAAATGCACTGCAACGTCGCTGTTTTAATCCAAAAACACGGTCAGTTTTTTCTCATTATGCACTGTGTGCTGCAGGATTTTTTTTGTATGGTGCAAACTTACCACATAGACCCATTTTCTCATATCTAGGCCCAGATTTACCACTCACAGCTTATCTGAGTGAACTGAGCTAATGATGCAGTACTATGGCACTGACCCTGGCTTCAAAGCCATAGAACTACAGCACAGACCCTCAAGGGGTTGAAAATGCTTAAGTAGTGACTGACAATTAAGGTAAGGTAAACTGTAGTAATTTCTGCCTAGTAGAATATTTTTTTTTTTTTTTTTTTTTTTTTTTTTAACACGTTGGCCATTTCCCACCAAGGCAAGGTGACCCAAAAAGAAAGAAAAAACTTTCAGCATCATTCAACACTTTCACCATCACTCATACATAATCACTGTCTTTGCAGAGGCCCTCAGATATGACAGTTTAGATGTCCCTCCAAACTTCCAATATCCCAAACTACTCCTTTAAAGTGCAGGCATTGTACTTCCCATTTCCAGGACTCAAGTCCGGCTAACTGGTTTCCCTGAATCCCTTCAAAAAATATTACCTTGCTCACACTCCAACAGCTTGTCAGGTCCCAAAAACTATTCGTCTCCATTCACTCCTGTCTAACACATTCATTTTTTTTTTATTTTTGGCAAATTTGGCAGTACGGTATCTGAAATACAGTGGACCCTCGATTAACGATATTTTTTCATTCCAGAAGTATGTTCAGGTGCCAGTACTGAACGAATTTGTTCCCATAAGGAATATTGTGAAGTAGATTAGTCCATTTCAGACCCCCACACATACACGTATAAACGCATTTATATAAATAGACTTACATAATTGGTCGCATTGGGAGGTGATCGTTAAGCGGGGGTCCACTGTATAGCCCTTTTTTTCCAAACATGTTCTTCACTTCATAAAGCTAATTTTCATAGGTTACCGATTTTCAGTAACATATTTTGTGCATTATGAGAGGGTTTGCTGTATTATATATTTATTGCATTTACAATCTGAGCAATGTTAAAATCTAAATTGGTGCATTCACAGTTATTCTCCTTGTTTTGGAATAGATATTTAGTGACATGTTCAACAGGATGAAGTTGGTTGTTATATAAATAAATCATACAAATAGGCTCGCACTTTTATCTAACTTGTATGTATCCAAATAACCAGGTCACATCCCTACTTGGTGTCATTATGAGGATCAATATGCAATCTAGACATTTTCATATTGCTTAGAATTATGTCTTTCTAGGTTTGGGAATATGACAGGATATGGATACAGAAGAGAGACGACTGCAAACCAGTAAAAATATTGGCACATCTTTACAATAATTGGAATACACATGGCATGGGTGACAAGCATAACTAACCCATAATTTGAAAATAAAACTAATGTTTGTCTTGGTCCATTGTTAAATTCAGAATGAACCTTTTATGGCCCAGTTTGTGCATTAGTTGTGAAGTGCTTCAACTACAACATTATGACTATTTACTCTTCATAGATAATATTGCAGCATTCATGCAGACAAGTGTGTAAATTTTTTGTAACAAATTTTCAATATTTTCCAGGATGAATCTAGACGCTACTGAATGTCAAGTTTGTGAAAATCTTCTGTCCTGTGATGCTTGCCTGGAATCTCTCAGCTGTGGTTGGTGCTACAATGTGTTCAATCCTACCATTGGTATTTGCACTGCTGGTGATTTTTCACAACCAAATAAAGGTAAAAATGTTCAAGCAGTATTTGAATTTAATTTATATCATATTTATGCCTTGCACAACATCTGTCACTATTCCTCTGCAGGGTTACAGTAAAATTTTCTCCACACTTCTGCCTCCGCATCTTTTAGAACAGGTTTGTGCAATTGGTTCAGAGAGCTACATTTATGAAAGTCCTGCATATAATATAATTTTTTTTTTTTGACACATTAGCTGTCTCCCACCAAGGCAGGGTGACCCAAAAAGAAACAAACACTTTCACCATCATTCAAAAAGAAAGAAACACTCACTATTTTATTTTTTTCAACAAGTCGGCCGTCCTAGGTAGTAGGTTGGTAGACAGCAACCACCCAGGGAGGTACTACCATCCTGCCAAGTGAGTGTAAAACGAAAGCCTGTAATTGTTTTACATGATGGTAGGATTGCTGGCGTCCTTTTTTCTGTCTCATGAACATGCAAGATTTCAGGTACGTCTTGCTACTTCTACTTACACTTAGGTCACACTACACATACATTTTTTTTTTTTTCCTCAACAAGTCGGCCGTCTCCCACTGAGGCAGGGTGACCCAAAAAGAAAATCCCCAAAAACAAAATACTTTCATCATTATTCAACACTTTCACCTCGCTCACACATAATACACAAGCATATATATACACACACCCCTCTGGGTTTTCTTCTATTTTCTTTCTAGTTCTTATTCTTGTTTATTTCCTCTTATCTCCATGGGAAAGTGGAACAGAATTCTTCCTCCATAAGCCATGCGTGTTGTAAGAGGCGACTAAAATGCCGGGAGCAAGGGGCTAATAACCCCTTCTCCTGTATAAATTACTAAATTTAAAAAGAGAAACTTTTGTTTTTCTTTTTGGGCCACCCTGCCTCGGTGGGATATGGCCAGTTTGTTGAAAGAAGAAGTCGGCTGTCTTTCACCAAGGCAGGGTGACCCAAAAAGAAAATACTTTCATCATCATTCAACACTTTTCACCTCACTCACACATAATCATTGTCCTTACAGAGTCACCCAGATACAACAGTCTAGAAGCATATGTAAAGATATATAACATACCCCTCCAAACTGCCAATATCCCGAACCTCTTCTTTAAAATGCAGGCATTGTACTTCCCATTTCCAGTACTCAAGTCCGGCTATATAAAGATAACCGGTTTCCTTGAATCCCTTCACTAAATATTACTTTCACTATTTTTCACACATAATCAGTCTTTGCAGAGGTGCCTAGATAAAAATAAAAATTTAGGCATACTTTGTGTTTCAGAAGTCATATCTCTTTAAATATTGCTCTAATATGGTTAATACTGACATTCATAAGAAAGATTGACCAGAAAAAAAACTTTTATGATTAATTTTCAATTTAGCAGTGATGTGCTAAGCTCCCTAGAAAGTACTGACACCTTGAAACCATCAAAAATAAATAAATTTATTCCTGAGCTGCTCCAAAGATAAAGTTTTGGATAATCAAACTCTGCTAATTAGAAACCTTAATTTGGAAGTTTACTATAGTTAGTTCATAAACATAACACAATAGCATTTATCTTTCATGTCTTAATACTGATTAGTAATCACTTTTCTTAGAACTGTATGCATGGATAGTTAACCCTTTCAGGGTCAGCAGGCCCTCTCCTAAACTTGTTCCCAGGGTCGGAAATTTTTTGAAAAAAAAAAATTATTTTTTCTTGTGGAATGATAGAGAATCTTTTCCCGATCATAATGACACCAAAAGTATGAAATTTGATGGAAAACTTGCGGAATTATGCTCTCGCAAAGTTAGCGGTCTTGATGATGTTTACGCATCGGCAATTTTGCCCACTTTGAGCCCTATTTTTGGCAAATTCCAATGTACCAGTCAACAAAAATTGTAACTATTTCCGTAGAACTCCATTTTTTCTATTGAATGAGTACAAGAAACCACCAATTTACCAATTTCAACCATCCAATAAAGTGGTCAGAAATTGGCAATTTTGCCAATTTCACACAAATTTCAAAAGATGCCAGTTTCCAAATAGGGTCCAGAATAAACAAGACAGACATTCCTGGCACTAAAATAACATTTCCTTTGTTCATTAGTCATGTCCCAAGGCCTCTGTTACATTTCCTTTGCTTTCCACTTTGAATTTTTATTCTCAAAAAAAAAAAAATACATTTACTGTTATGCAGACTACTGCATTAGTATAGAAATGGTATAAATAATATCAGCGCACTCGTGAAAGAATATTAGACTCACCAGTTGACGTTTATTGGAAGCATGGCATGTCTTGTTTACTTTTGAACTTTGGCAAAAATCAAACATTTCTGCTACTTTGAGTTCAATTTCAAGGTACTTTTCATTGTGAAACCAATCAAAATCATCCCAATTTCTGTAATATGTCTTCCATTCTATAAAATGAGACCAGGAAAGCTAGAATGCAATCGTAAATAGCATATGAAAATACACTGCAAAGATGCTGTTTTAAACCAAAAACACGGTCAGTTTTTTTTTTCTCGTTATGCACTGTGTGCTGCAGAATTTTTTTTATACTGCGCACACTGACCACATAGATCCATTCTCTCATATGTAGGCCTACCAGCTTTCTCTTGCTAGATTTGAAGGCGCTAGAATTTATGCATACTAGTATGGCACCAACCCTGGCGTGCAAGCTGTACTAGTACGGCACCAACCCTGAAAGGGTTAAACAACTTGCAGTTGTTAGCTTAATTCAATGCTAAGGCTGTGCCTAAGTTAGCCTGTATTATCTATGAGTTGCCCAAACTGTGTATCAAAGAGTCACTATGTTGTTCGGTTAGAAATGCAACTAGCAGTCTAGGAAACAGTATGTAAATGAAGCACTATATGGGTTAAGATGAGTATATTGAGGCCTCTTTACATTTGAAAGACAATTGTCAGGCTTTGGTAATCCTAGATAGAGTAATTGGTATTGGCATTAATTATATCCTTAGAAGATGCACCAAATAATTCCATTGAACCTGCAGATTTGCCTGAGTTAAAGTCTATATACTGAGTCTCTTGCACAAATTTTAAGGCTGTGAGTTTTGTACTATTGGTTTAAGGTAATGTGATAAGAAGAGGCTGAGAGAATATGTTAAGTACTGATTTACTTTTTTTTTTTTTTTTTTTTTTTTTTTTTTTTTTTTGCAGGAGATTGTGGCAGCCTTATTAGCCCCCTGTTACTAGCTGCCAGTGAGAATACATCAGTTTTTGTGGACCTACAAGTTTCACAAAGCAATTGGGCTTATGCAATGTGCCCAGATGTAGATGAGTGCAAACTGTCACTTCATGATTGCCATCCTAATGCAACATGCTCTAATACCCACCCAGGATTTAACTGCACCTGCAGTAGAGGCTTTCGTGGAAATGGACATGACACGTGTGAAAGAACGTATGTGTGTAATATGCTTCTTTTATATATTACAGTTATATTGAGATTTAGTTCTTTAATGGAAATTTTAGTTAATAATTGTCTCTTGATTTTTTTTATTTTTATCATAATTAAAGGTTTGCAGAATTGGGTAATAGTTGTATTTCCACTGTTTTATGATGCTATTCTCTATGAATCACAATTTTGTATGTATGTATTCTATTGTAATCTGCTTTAGCAGATACTCTTATAAACAGTCTCTATATTACATTTGCTATGAAATTTCACTATATTTCAGATGCTATGAAAGTTGCATCCATGGGTACTGTTCTGGCCATCCTGAGTATAAGTGTGTCTGCAACCTAGGCTGGATGGGGCCAGACTGTGCCACAAACTGTGGCTGTAACAACCACTCAACGTGTCACAAAGGGGTTGGCATCTGCGATCAATGCCGAGACGGGACTGATGGGCAGTACTGTCACCTCTGTCAGTGAGTATTTTTACTTTTTATCTAAGTTAAATATAAATATTGTCCCCCAAACTGCATTATTTGTAATACAGTACCAATCAGTAATACACATAACTATTTTTTAATTAAAGGGTATGTCAAAGAAATTAGGTTTGCTAACTTTTATCACCTAAAAGGTATTCATGAAAATGTATCAGAAATATAATCCAAAATTGGAACATATATATCAAGCTTAAGCTGTGTACATAAGTTTTTTGCATGAGACATGAATTGGTATACTGAGTGAATGTGTTCAGGAAATTTTATTTTTAACCTGATCAGCTATTTTGCACTATGGCAGGGTCGCCCAGAGAAGAAAACATTCACCATCACTTATTAATTAGCTGTCTTGCCAGAAATGTGTAAGCATCACAACACAGGTGGACCTCTGAACTGAGCACCCCAACCCATCCTTGAGACTGCAGACATATTGCAGAATATATTAGAAATATTACAGAAATAGATACGATTTTGATTGCTTTCATGACTAAAAATGCCTTGAAATTGAGCTCAACCTAGGAGAAATGGTCCATTGCTTGGCTGTCTCAGAGTAAACAAATGACGTCACTGTCCATTTCAATATGCAGTTGTGAATGGGTTGACATATTTATACAATTATTACAATAAGGAATAACAGTAAATCTTATATTTTTTGTGTGAATAAAAATTACAGATAATTTATATAATAATAATAATAATAATGATAATAATATGTATAGTAATAATATGAATAATAATATGAATAATAATAATATGAATAATAATAATATGAATAATAACAATACATATATTATAATAATAATAGTATAATACAATAATAATAATAATAATAATATAATATGTATAATAATACATATATAATAATAATAATGTACTGCATATAATAATTTTAATAATAGACGGCTTCAAAAGGCCGTCACTAGATGGCAGTGTTTACCACAACAAAGAGGGAGCGGTTGTGGCCTCCTCAACCTGTTACATAATGACATATTTTATTCATTCTAGAGTATATATCGTGTTTCTATGTTATTTATATTGTATGTTATGTCATATTAGATGAACTGTGATATATAAATAAGCCGTATAGATGGTATTAGCGAAATTATTCATGAAGTATTTTGCCCGGTCTCCAGACAAACTCTCCTCCACCGCCCATACCACTACATGAATGACATTTTATTAATTTTAGAGTATATATCAGGTTTTTATGTTATTTATGTTGTTTATTATGTCATATTAGATGAAGTGAGATAGGTAAATAAGCCGTAGAGTTGATATTAGCGAAATTATTGAAGTACAGAATTCTACTAGAATGGATTAATTGCATTTCAATTAATTTAAATGAGGAAAATTGACTCTGCAAACGAGCAAATCCAGTTGCAAGCAAGGTCATGGAACGGATTAAACTCGCAGGTAGAGGTTCCACTGTACTATACTTTTTCTGTTTGTTCATATTGTTAGCACTTGTACTGAAATTACAGTAGGGTGGCAGTAATGCGATTGGAAAGCTGTAATTAAATTTAAAAATAAGTTCTTACTGTAAGACTACATATGAATTCTTTTTTTCTTTTTTCTATTTTTTACAGGGCAGGAAACTTTGGTAATGCTACAACTATCGGGTGTCAGATGTGTAAATGCAATGATCACTGGGATGAAACCCTTGGACAGTGTAATCAGACTACTGGAGAGTGCTTCTGTATCCATAATACCGATGGACATAACTGTCACAAATGCTTGCCAGGTTTGTTTCTTCGTTTTCTCGAGTGCTACTGTGAATTTTGACAAGTACTCATTGATTGAGATGTAATGTGTGTTTTGTTAAGTGAATGACAAGGTTTCTTAATTGCTTTCCATCACTATGCACTTGGGAGAATCTTGCAAAATTGTCTTTATTCTGCGTACTATAGTTATGAGCACCAATATAATTTAAATTAGTGGGTGACTTTACATGTATATTCCAAGGAAAATTCACAAGAAAAAATATGACTGTTGCAATTTCATAATTTTTTTTTATTAGGATTTTATGGTGATCCAAGTAACGGCGGACGTTGCTTTAGAGAATGCAGTGCTCGGAATATTTTGTATGAAGCAACAAAAGGCTACTTGGGAGCACAGACAACTGGATTGGAGCCATCTGCAACTTGTATGTGGATAATTACTGCTGGTGACACTTTAGAGCCCCTTACCGCCCTCCAAACTGGGTAAGTTATGCTCTTGTGTGTGTATGTCTTTATTAGTTTACATAGATTTCAACTAAACTCTAGCCTTCACATAATTCATGTGCTACCAATACAGTGGTCCCCCGGTTAACGATATTTTTTCACTCCATAAGTATGTTCAGGTGCCAGTACTGACCGAATTTATTCCCATAAGGAATATTATGAAGTAGATTAGTCCATTTCAGACCCCCAAACATACACGTACAAACGCACTTACATAAATACACTTACATAATTGGTCGCATTCGGAGGTAATCGTTATGCGGGGGTCCACTGTACATGGAAAAATTATTCTCATTACCACTGGATTGTGCCTGTATTTATAGTATATATGAAAGCTTAGCACAGTTTAATATTGCACTTAATAATAGCTGAGGGGACAAAGAGTGTAAAAATTATAGGGAAATAAGCCTGAGTCCTAGGTAGTAGGTTGGTAGACAGCAACCACCAAGGGAGGTACTACCGTCCTTCCAAGTGAGCGTACAACGGAAGCGTGTAATTGTTTTACATGATGGTAGGATTGCTGGTGTCATTTTTTTGTCTCATAAACATGCAAGATTTCAGGTATGCCTTGCTACTTCTACTTACACTTAGGTTACACTACACTTGCATGTACAAGCATATATGTATATATACACACCCCTCTGGGTTTTCTTCTGTTTTCTTGCTAGTTCTTATTGTTGTTTATTTCCTCTTTTCTCCATGAGGAAATAGAACAGAATTCTTCCTCCATAAGCCATGCATGTCATAAGAGTACCGGGAGCAAGGGGTTAGTTAGCCCTTCTGTATACATTACTAAAGTTAAAAGATAAACTTTTGCTCTTCTTTTTAGGTCACCCTGCCTTGGTGGGATATGGCCAGTTTGATGGAAATAAAAGGCCTGTTGAGTGTACCTGGTAAGGTGTATGGTAGAGTTATTATTGAAAGAATTATGAGTAAGATGGAGAGCAGGATTGCAGATGAACAAGGAGGCTTTAGGAAGGGTACGGGGTGTGTAGACCAAGTGTTTACAGGGAAACATATAGGTGAACAGTATTTAGATATGGGTAAAAAGGTTTTTGTGGCACTTACGGATTCAGAAAAGTCATATGATAGGGTGGATAGGGGGGCAGTGTGGCAGATGTTGCAGATGTACAGAATAAGAGATAGGTTACTGAAAGCAGTGAAGAGTTTTTATGAGGATAGTGAGGCTCAGGTTAGAGTATGTAGAAGAGAGGGAGATGATTTTCCAGTAAAAGTAGGCCTTAGACAGGGATGTGTTATGCCACCATGGTTGTTCAATATATCTATAGAGGGACTTGTAAGAAAAGTGAATGCTCAGGTGTTGGCAGGAGATGTGGGATTAAAAGATAAAGAATCTAACACAAAGTGGGAGTTGTCACAGTTGCTCTTTGCTGATGATACTGTTTTTGGGAGATTCTGAAGAGAAGTTGCAGAGGTTGGTGGACAAGTTTTGTAGAGTATGTAAAAGAAGGAAATTAAAAGTGAACATAGGATAGAGGAAGGTGATAAGAATAACATTAAAACTAGGTAATGAAAGATTTTACATGAAATTGAAGGGAGGGAATATGGAGGAAGTCATTGTATTCAGATATATGGGAATGGACTTGTCAGCAGATGGGTCTATGAAGGATGAGATGAATCATGGAATTGATGATTGAAGAAAGGTGAGTGGTGCACCAAGGGGTGTGCAGAGACAGAACATTATCCATGGAAACAAAGAGGGGAATGTATGAGAGTATAGTTATACCAACACACTTATATGGGTGTGAAGCATGCATGGTGAATGTTGCAACAAGAAGGCTGGAGGCAGTGGAAATGATGTCTGAGGGCAATATGTGGTGTGAATATAATGCAGAAAATCCATAGTTTGGAAATTAGGGGGTGTGGGGTTACTAAAAGTTTTATCCAGAGGGCTGAGGAGGGTTGTTGAGGTTGTTCAAATATTCAGAGAGGTTGGAACAAAATAGAATGACTTGGAGAGTGTATAAATCTGTAATGGAAGGAAGGCAGGGTGGGAGTCAGCCTAGGAATGGTTGGAGGGAGGGGGTAAAGGAGGTTTTGTTTGCAAGGAACTTGGACTTCCAGCAAGCATGCATGAGAATGTTAAATAGGAGTGAGTGGAGACAAATGGTTTTATATAACTTGACTAGGTAGTAGGTTGGTAGACAGCAACCACCCAGGGAAGTACTACCGTCCTGCCAGATGACTGTGAAACAAAAACCTGTAATTATTTTGCATGATAGTAGGATTGCTGGTTTCTTTTTCTGTCTCATAAACACGCTAAGATAACAGGGATATCTTGCTACTCCTACTAACACTTTGGTCACACTTCACAGACACGCACATGCATATATATATATACATACATCTAGGTTTTTCTCCTTTTTCTAAATAGCTCTTGTTCTTTTTTATTTCTTCTATTGTCCATGGGGAAGTGGAAAAGAATCTTTCCTCCGTAAGCCATGCGTGTCGTATGAGGCGACTAAAATGCCGGGAGCAATGGGCTAGTAACCCCTTCTCCTGTATACAATTACTAAAAAAAAAAAAAAAAAAAAAAAAAAAAAAAAAAAAAAAAAAAAAAAAAAAAAAAGAGAAGAAGAAAAACTTTATAAAACTGGGTTGCTTAAATGTGCGTGGATGTAGTGCGGATGACAAGAAACAGATGATTGCTGATGTTATGAATGAAAAGAAGTTGGATGTCCTGGCCCTAAGCGAAACAAAGCTGAAGGGGGTAGGAGAGTTTCAGTGGGGGGAAATAAATGGGATTAAATCTGGAGTATCTGAGAGAGTTAGAGCAAAGGAAGGGGTAGCAGTAATGTTAAATGATCAGTTATGGAAGGAGAAAAGAGAATATGAATGTGTAAATTCAAGAATTATGTGGATTAAAGTAAAGGTTGGATGCGAGAAGTGGGTCATAATAAGCGTGTATGCACCTGGAGAAGAGAGGAATGCAGAGGAGAGAGAGAGATTTTGGGAGATGTTAAGTGAATGTATAGGAGCCTTTGAACCAAGTGAGAGAGTAATTGTGGTAGGGGACTTGAATGCTAAAGTAGGAGAAACTTTTAGAGAGGGTGTGGTAGGTAAGTTTGGGGTGCCAGGTGTAAATGATAATGGGAGCCCTTTGATTGAACTTTGTATAGAAAGGGGTTTAGTTATAGGTAATACATATTTAAGAAAAAGAGGATAAATAAGTATACACGATATGATGTAGGGCGAAATGACAGTAGTTTGTTGGATTATGTATTGGTAGATAAAAGACTGTTGAGTAGACTTCAGGATTACATGTTTATAGAGGGGCCACAGATATATCAGATCACTTTCTAGTTGTAGCTACACTGAGAGTAAAAGGTAGATGGGATACAAGGAGAATAGAAGCATCAGGGAAGAGAGAGGTGAAGGTTTATAAACTAAAAGAGGAGGCAGTTAGGGTAAGATATAAACAGCTATTGGAGGATAGATGGGCTAATGAGAGCATAGGCAATGGGGTCGAAGAGGTATGGGTAGGTTTAAAAATGTAGTGTTAGAGTGTTCAGCAGAAGTTTGTGGTTACAGGAAAGTGGGTGCAGGAGGGAAGAGGAGCGATTGGTGGAATGATGATGTAAAGAGAGTAGTAAGGGAGAAAAAGTTAGCATATGAGAAGTTTTTACAAAGTAGAAGTGATGCAAGGAGGGAAGAGTATATGGAGAAAAAGAGAGAGGTTAAGAGAGTGGTGAAGCAATGTAAAAAGAGAGCAAATGAGAGAGTGGGTGAGATGTTATCAACAAATTTTGTTGAAAATAAGAAAAAGTTTTGGAGTGAGATTAACAAGTTAAGAAAGCCTAGAGAACAAATGGATTTGTCAGTTAAAAATAGGAGAGGAGAGTTATTAAATGGAGAGTTAGAGGTATTGGGAAGATGGAAGGAATATTTTGAGGAATTGTTAAATGTTGATGAAGATAGGGAAGCTGTGATTTCGTGTATAGGGCAAGGAGGAATAACATCTTGTAGGAGTGAGGAAGAGCCAGTTGTGAGTGTGGGGGAAGTTCGTGAGGCAGTAGGTAAAATGAAAGGGGGTAAGGCAGCCGGGATTGATGGGATAAAGATAGAAATGTTAAAAGCAGGTGGGGATATAGTTTTGGAGTGGTTGGTGCAATTGTTTAATAAATGTATGGAAGAGGGTAAGGTACCTAGGGATTGGCAGAGAGCATGCATAGTTCCTTTGTATAAAGGCAAAGGGGATAAAAGAGAGTGCAAAAATTATAGGGGGATAAGTCTGTTGAGTGTACCTGGTAAAGTGTATGGTAGAGTTATAATTGAAAGAATTAAGAGTAAGACGGAGAATAGGATAGCAGATGAACAAGGAGGCTTTAGGAAAGGTAGGGGGTGTGTGGACCAGGTGTTTACAGTGAAACATATAAGTGAACAGTATTTAGATAAGGCTAAAGAGGTCTTTGTGGCATTTATGGATTTGGAAAAGGCGTATGACAGGGTGGATAGGGGGGCAATGTGGCAGATGTTGCAAGTGTATGGTGTAGGAGGTAGGTTACTGAAAGCAGTGAAGAGTTTTTACGAGGATAGTGAGGCTCAAGTTAGAGTATGTAGGAAAGAGGGAAATTTTTTCCCAGTAAAAGTAGGCCTTAGACAAGGATGTGTGATGTCACCGTGGTTGTTTAATATATTTATAGATGGGGTTGTAAGAGAAGTAAATGCGAGGGTCTTGGCAAGAGGCGTGGAGTTAAAAGATAAAGAATCACACACAAAGTGGGAGTTGTCACAGCTGCTCTTTGCTGATGACACTGTGCTCTTGGGAGATTCTGAAGAGAAGTTGCAGAGATTGGTGGATGAATTTGGTAGGGTGTGCAAAAGAAGAAAATTAAAGGTGAATACAGGAAAGAGTAAGGTTATGAGGATAACAAAAAGATTAGGTGATGAAAGATTGAATATCAGATTGGAGGGAGAGAGTATGGAGGAGGTGAACGTATTCAGATATTTGGGAGTGGACGTGTCAGCGGATGGGTCTATGAAAGATGAGGTGAATCATAGAATTGATGAGGGAAAAAGAGTGAGTGGTGCACTTAGGAGTCTGTGGAGACAAAGAACTTTGTCCTTGGAGGCAAAGAGGGGAATGTATGAGAGTATAGTTTTACCAACGCTCTTATATGGGTGTGAAGCGTGGGTGATGAATGTTGCAGCGAGGAGAAGGCTGGAGGCAGTGGAGATGTCATGTCTGAGGGCAATGTGTGGTGTGAATATAATGCAGAGAATTCGTAGTTTGGAAGTTAGGAGGAGGTGCGGGATTACCAAAACTGTTGTCCAGAGGGCTGAGGAAGGGTTGTTGAGGTGGTTCGGACATGTAAGAGAATGGAGCGAAACAGAATGACTTCAAGAGTGTATCAGTCTGTAGTGGAAGGAAGGCGGGGTAGGGGTCGGCCTAGGAAGGGTTGGAGGGAGGGGGTAAAGGAGGTTTTGTGTGCGAGGGGCTTGGACTTCCAGCAGGCATGCTTGAGCGTGTTTGATAGGAGTGAATGGAGACAAATGGTTTTTAATACTTGACGTGCTGTTGGAGTGTGAGCAAAGTAACATTTATGAAGGGATTCAGGGAAACCGGCAGGCCGGACTTGAGTCCTGGAGATGGGAAGTACAGTGCCTGCACTCTGAAGGAGGGGTGTTAATGTTGCAGTTTAAAAACTGTAGTGTAAAGCACCCTTCTGGCAAGACAGTGATGGAGTGAATGATGGTGAAAGTTTTTCTTTTTCGGGCCACCCTGCCTTGGTGGGAATCGGCCGGTGTGATAATAAAAAAAAAAAAAAAATAACTTGACGTGCTGTTGAAGTGTGAGCAAGGTAACATTTATGAAGGGATTCATGGAAATTGGCAAGCCAGATTTGGGATTTGAGTGCCTGCGCTCAGAAAAAGGGGTGTTGATATGTGGTAAGACAGTGATGGATTAAAGTGTTTTTTTCTCTTTTGGGTCATCCTGCCTTGGTGGGAAATGGCTGATGTAATAATAAAAAAAATTATGGTTGTTTGAGCAGCAAAATTATAAACTGATTTTCTGACTTGGTATATAACTGTGGAAGGGAGAGTAGACAGGATACTGTGTTTTCTACCTGTAACTGCAAAAAAAAAAAAAAATTGTAGTTTGTTGAAATGTGTGTGCATGTGTGTAGTACAGTGTACACCAATTTAACAGTGAGGATGCATTCCAAAGAAATTGTTTAAGTGAATATTTTGTTCAACCAGTTTCATTATTCCATAGACACTCAGTAGCAGAGTTAATAAGACTTACTCTTTCCTTTTGAGCAAATTGATTTCTCTTCCTGTGTGGAAATTCTGAAGCGTATATAAGCACTCTTCCAAAAACAATGATGACCCATGGCCACATTCTCGGCTCGCTCTTCATTTTTTATTTATATCAATGAGCTACCATATGTTGGCCAACTACTTGTACAAATTCTCTCTCCTGATGACACTGTACTTTTATCCTCTGAGATATTGACTCTACTGTCTTAAACAACATAGTGAAGCATTATTTTTAATGAGGTTCACATTTGGATGAAAACCAATACACTTCAAAATAAATCTACAGATCTGCATACTATTTGAAAATATGCCAATCAACCCCAGGAATTGTTAATATCGAGTCAAAATGTATTAAAATTTGCAGTTTGTTGCCATATTTTTAATTAATTCCTATAATTCTTTTTAAATTTGTTGTAATAAAATTGTTTTCACATCAGTTTTACAGCCAAGACTTCCACCATATGTAGTGTTTGATTTTTTTTTTTTTCCTTGCTGATTTTTAATTATGCACTATGATTTATTTTTTTCCAATAGGTTCAGAGGCCACATTAAATCTTTCTGTAGTTTCTCTCGTAGTTTTGTATTTCATTTCTAGTCTACTATTTCTCCAAATTGTATGAGCTTTCACTTGTTCATATTGAATATCAGATGCTGTGTGTTGAACCACCTCTGCAACTTTCCTGGGCACTACATGGTACAGGACATTGAACACTACTAGGGTCATATAGTAGATACACATGTAGTTCATTTGTTTATATTAAACCAGTTATTCAGTGTACCACCAACTGATACACATACTGTTATCGCCACATACCTCCTTGGTTCTCATCATGGTTCCTTGAAATTCACCTTATCCTATCCTTTCTCCAGATCCTTAATGGCTATGTATCTTTAAGCCTTTTTAACATGCTTTCATTATTTACTATCTCTGCCAATATCTAAACAACTCTATTTGCTATGAAGTTATGCAAACTGGTATTTTTTCAGATCCTATATCATTCAGATAACAATAGAAGAAATTAACATAGAATGTGGAACAGGAATCCTCTATGTGTATGATGGACTCCCAAATTTCGTTTCGGGCAATGTACGTTGGGACCGACAAAATCACATCATTGTGGGAGCATTCTGTGCAAGTCAGGCATCTTATCCTGTGACTGTACAGGCTCTCTCTGGGCTTATGACTGTATTCTATGAAAAAAATGATCCTGCACAAGGATTCAATGCCAGTTATGAGGTGTTGCATTGTGTGAAAAATGCAGGGCACAACCGAATATGCACCAATAACAAGCTTGTCTGTGATGAAAAGTGGTCTGGGGTCCATTGTGACATTCCCATCTGCCCCAACAAATGCTCAGAAGCAGAAGGACGAGGCAAATGTCACTCCGGTTATGGGCGCTGCATCTGCACACTAGGATTTGTTGGAGACGATTGTAGCATTGTTCAGCGTGAGCATCAGGTAATGCTAGTTTGACTTGTTTATCTTGAATAGATTTATTCAAATGAGTGATCATTTGTTAATACTCTTTTATTATTCTTATTGGCTGGGTTTATTGGAAATATCATTGAGTATCAGGTTTGGTGTGCCATTTAAAACAGTCTCTTTTCACTTACTTATTGGAATATACATGTATAGCATTTTTTGCAGTGCCTTTCAGTAGTGTGACAATCAGTAACTGTTAGTATGTTAAGAGCCACCTTTAGCAGAATGAATTATTTTTAGCAGAGAACTAACATAAGATCCATAGCATCCTAATTTAGTATAAGTGAAAAGCTACATTAATATAAGCAAAAGAACAAAGTAACTTAAGATCAAGAAACTGTTACTGTAGTCATAATTGAAGGAATAAGGTAACCTAAGATCAAGAAAAATTTTTTTTAGCATAAATGAAGACACAAGGTAACTTAAGATTTAGAAGCAGAGGTGATGCATCACCAAGAAAAGCTAGATAAGAAAAATGTAAATACTTAAATAAAATAATGAAGAGTATTTTGTCATAGAGGATAAAGTTTGAAGGTGTAAGATTTAAAATAGCTGAGATACAAGGGAAAAAGAACAAATTAAGCAATAAAGAATGCAGAAATAGTAATTTTAGAGGTATTTATAAATAAAAAAAAAAAAAAGTTATTACTTTCTGAGTAGTTTCAGGGAATATGAACATAAAAAAATTACAGAGGCCAAGTGTGATGATTATAATTCAACGCTGAAAATATCCAATAAAAGTACTTGGTTAGTCATACAGTTGAAAGTGTAGGTGAACAGTTTAGTGATAGTGCTTGAGAAAATCTTCTGTGACCTACTTTTGCATATATTGTGCATTACAAGACTGCTTCCTGCAATAAAATCTTTATTATCAGTTTGGCACTGCTTATGCACTCACCATCATTTGTTGGAGAAGAATTAAAAGTTCTTAACTGATAAACAGAGCAATTCATTTTATTATTGCATTTCTTCTTGACAAGAGAAATGATCCATTTAGATTAATTATGGGTTTAAAGACAGTATCCAGAGCAGGCTTTTATTGGGAGCACGTTATGCTCAGGGTTGAGTTTTATCAACAGGAAGCATTTTTATACACTTGCACACAATCACTTACTTTTTATTTATTTACTTTTAAACACAACAGCCGTCTCCTGCCAAGGCATGGTAAC